AAAATCATTTTCCCACAGACAAAAAAACCACATCAGTTGTTTTCTCTCTCCCACTTGAAACATCTAGCGTTGTTTAATAATGCCTCCTTTTACAGTAAAATGTTCCAACATTGGCAAATCTTAAAGAATGATAGCTTCACAATTGTTTTTCATTATGTACAACCTGATCAAGTTCACATATATTTACTGCACAAATAAATATTGATGTATCAATCATAGTATCAATCATAGTTTAACAAGGAATGTAGTTGGAAAAAACATTCAGCAAAGTAGTGGAGGAAAACAGCTTCCTCTTACATAGAGACAGTAAAATTCAGAAGCCAACGTTTTGGAAGAAAATGTTTTGACAAGCTGCTTCCTCAGAATTAGGCTAATCTCATGTAATTAAAAAAAATACAAGAGGACCATACCTTGACTTGTTTATTTTTATCACCTGCCTTCTTTGTTTTATAAAGTACTTAATCCAAGCCTTGAGACAACTATAGATCACTTAAATTCTTAGAAAGCAGGAGTAGTATTTGCTTGTTTCATGGCAGCAAAGTGCACCAGGGATTCCTCTGATTACCAAAGTTTGGGGACAACAGATCTTCATGTTCTGCTTGTTACTTTCTTTGTGGTATTTAGAAATTGCTGAAGATGGATGATGAACCATTTTAAAGGTGTGAATGTATTCATGCAGGCTACTGGAGTATTGATGGCCTTGGTGGTTAAGAGAGATGGATTTGGATAGCTTTTGGTCCCTCCCCAGCTCTGTCATTAGCAGGAGCTTAAACTAGAATTATAAAATTGACATGTGAGGTTAAAAAATGCAGCTGTGATCCTCAGTATTGCTGGTAAAGGGGGCTTTTGTTTTGATTTGGTTGCAATGGTTAAAAAAGAAATTTGGGAATGGAGGTGAAAGTAAAGTCTACCCTGCCTGTGCAAATTTTCTTATGATCATTGGCAAAAGTGAAAAGGAAGAGGCTTTAATCTCACCCCCTCTGAGTGAGTGGGAGCAGGGGAGAAGTGTCTTGAAGATTACTTTCTTTGGACCAGGTTCTTTTGAGAAACAGGATTGATGGATACTGTACGTAAAAATAGACTGTGAGGCAGCAGGCAGCATTAACCCCTCCCTCCCTTCCACAGTAGACTCAATAGTCTAGGATTCATGAACATTGTGAGTTATTTTTAATGTATTATTTGTTCTTTCTACTGTCTTAGCCCTTCTGAAGGAAACTTAAATTAGATAAATGCATTGGGGTGGGGGACCCTCTTCTGAGTACTGGTGTCGTTTATGTGGGACTGTACTTTGTGGTTGGTAAAGCTACTGAAGCTAGTGCAGAATTTGCAGTCAGGGTCTTGAGTGGGGCACTTGACCACACAGATGTTACACTGATACTAGAGCAACATCAAATGTAAGAATGTGCTGCTGGAGATCAAGGTCAAGGCTATACATTCTGTGGAATTTCCAGTTACTGTGAATAGCGAAGAAAGCTGACATAAAAAAATAGTTTCATTGGAAGTAGGAGAGCTTTATTGATTCTCTGGACTGTCAGAAAAACAAACAAGTGGGTTCTAGACCATAGTAAGCCCGAACTCTTATTGAAGGCAACGATGACTGAAGCTGACATTCTTGGGCACATTATAGATTCACTGGAAAGGTTCTTTTGAGAAACAGGATTGTTCAGAAAGTTGAGGGCACAAAGAAATGAGAAAAAACTAATAGTTGTTGCATTGACTCAATAAAAGAAGCATAAAACTTGAGTTTGCAAGATCTGAGCAGGACTGTTAATGACAGAGCCTTATGGAAGTCACTAATTCTTAGGGTCACAATAAATCAGAAGCTACTTGACAGCACATAACCACCATAACAAAGTAACTGTACTGCCTGCTTTCCAAATGGGTAGTACAAGGTGTGGCATTCACCTTTGTGGCACCTGCGTGTTTGGCCCTCACAAAGGCTCACATTGCATTTTCCTCTCACTGCCACCAGTGGATTACCTCAGTCCACAATATAAATGATGTATGTCAGGACACTTGTCTTGTAAAGTCAAACAGAACTTATTTATTGAAGTGAATCAGATTTAATTATAACAGAAGATCTTCAGATACTCATTGTACACAAGCAAATCGTTAACAGTACTCTCAGTACATACTTTTCTCTTACAATATCATTGTCACATTCTCTACCTATTTTCTTAACCAGTCTTATCACTCTATATCTGTTCCCTCTCTCTCTGACTAACCAACTCTGACTCTGACTCTCTTTTAGACTGACTCAGGCTCCGCCTTTTAACATATATTTATCCTTTATCCTATACTGGAAGCCGCCTAGAGTGGTCGAGTAGACCAGATAGGCGAGGTATAAATCAAATACCGCCTCTCAAACACATTAGCATAGAACCTGAATAATACATGACTTATTTTGCATAACAAGGGGTGAACGCTGCTCAAGGTCATCCACATTGTAGTTGATATCATTGGAAGAGGACTATTTGCTCTTTCACCTTCTGTGAAGGTGGTCTCCCTGGTAGGAGATTTCAATCTGAGCTCTGCTCCTCTTCATTCACTTCCAATCCCACACTCTTTCATGGCATACTTTCTTTATAAAATTGCTGGAGCATCATGTGTCCCAAAGGCTCTTCTCATATATAAGAATAATTTCAGGAAAGCTCACAGCAGCATTGGCAAGATATACTATGGGAAGGCTTGTTTGCCTTTGCATCATTTCTCAATTAAATGAACACTGCAGCCTCTTAAATGCCTGAGTGACAGTACATCTAAATGGATTGCCTTATAGGCCTAAACAGTATCATAAATGTTTTTCAGACGCAACGGAAGACAGTATAGGTCCTAGGATATTACTATAACATCCTCCTGGCTCACAACCTATCTGAACATGAATTGTTTTATATAGATATAAATTTTTATACCATTTGGAGGATCACTTATAACACCAAAGACAACATGTTTTGTCATACGAATACTATAAAGTTTAATTGAAATTTTGTCCTTTCAATGAAATCATTAATAAATCCAGATGGGTCTAATTAACCTAAGAAATAATGATATGTTTATAGGTGCGTAATGCCTATAAAACTAGAGTTAAGTTTTAAGAAAGCTGGTTACATAACATACCTAAAGAGGAGAAACTAAAAAAATAACCAGTAGCCTAAAATAGGCCAAAAAAATTGGCCTATTTTATGGTGAATCTTTTTAAAAATGTGTATGTGACGTTTACCCCGTGGCCCCTGCTTGTTTCACCCAACCCCAGAGCTCACGAAGGTATCCCAACATGCCTCTTGACACGCTGCCACCAGTTGATCTCTTTATTAACTTATATTTCTTTATCAAAGACTAAGGTCCATCCAGTACTGACTTTTTAACAGAAACAAGATTATTGATTACACATGGTTTCAGGTATGATTCTTACGCACATTCTTAAAGTTCCTCAAAGCTTCATTTTACTTTAATCTCTTCTATATTAATTAACACTGGTCACACTCTGACTAATCACTGCCTAATCACTCCTTAAACACTCTCTGCCTCAAAACCCCAAACTATTACCCTCTCTAGCGCTCTCTGACTCAGACTCTGACTGAACCTCTCTCTCAGGCTCTGCCTCTTCAGCAGCCCCTTTGGCCCTGCCTCACAACCACATTAGCATATAACTTATGAATAATGCATAAAACTTAGGGTGAACAGTATAATTTAAGGGGAAATATTTATAAACATTGATTATAGTGTAACGCACATTGTTGAACAATACCTGGATTTTTACCACATGTTAAATTTTCTTGTCATTCACTTAATGACTGCTTGCTATCTAAGCAATATTTCTGAAATAAGAAAAACTTAGGTTGCAGGTGGGTTGGCCATGTGCTATTATGCTCTCTCTCATTTAGGCATCCTTCAAGATGAGAGACTATGGTAATATGCTCTGAATAGAGGTCTTGGAACAACATCTAGTGTGGCTGAGAAGGCCAATTTGAGAGTGGCAATCTCTTCTACACTGAAGACAAATACAATCTGTCCCGGCCAGCTCCCTGATTTAGCTGGTTTCGGAACTGCCTCTTGCTTCAGCCTGCTGGACAAGGGTCTCTTCAAATGGGGAGTGACCATGCTGCACCTCCTGCCTCCAGGCTGAATGCTCAGATGTCAAAATTTCCTATTTGTTGAGGTCCATTCCTAAGGCCTTCAGATCCTGGAGGTCCATTCCTAAGGCCTTCAGATCCTGCTTGCGATATCCGTGTATCGCAGCTGTGGTCTCTCTCTGGCTCTCTCTCTCAGGTTATTTAGAGATTACATAAACTTCACCCATCAAAGTAATGACCCCATTTGAAAGACACACAACAATTAATTACCTAAATGACATTCTTGCAGGAAAAACTACTTACATACCTTATGCAAATATATCTGAATCCGTTACTTCCGTGGAAGAGCAATTGTACACAGTGGAATGGATGTTTGTTTCAAATTACATGTAGACCTGGTTTTCCCATTCAAAGTTGAAGTAGTCTTAAACATGAAGAATAATGAGTTTACCATTGAGATACAATGTACATATGCCTGAGAATCTCACAAACACAAGGTTGTTTACAGTCATTCTAAGGTGGGGTAAAAGATGAAGAAAGGGCTAGCTTGCCAAGAATTGTTAACTTTTTTAGTGGCCCGCAAGGAGTAACTGACATTCTAAAATTTGTTCTTTTCACTAGCAAATGTGAAAGGTCATCTGGCCAACACTAGGGATGCAGCCAACATGTTAAAAAAAGAAAGAAAGAAATAAGCAAAATTTAATTATTTTACTACTCCGTAATGTGACATGCTGTTTCATATTAAATCTTTACTGCATTTTTGGTGGAAATACTTTCATTAGTAATAAATGAAACCAGTGTTGCTGTTTTTTCAGTGTTGGTATTCTGTAGTGCAGTCAGTTAAAATGTATATAAATAGGTGCTACCTCCATGAAATCACACTCCTTTTAATGTGCATTTAATTAATGTATTTGTTTACTATTACAGACAGCCAATGGAAATGTAGAAGCTAAAGTGGTATGTTTCTATAGACGGAGGGACATCTCAAGCACCTTAATTGTACTCGCTGATAAACATGCAAGTAAGCTATTTTTTCCTAATAAACAACCTGACTTTAAGTTTAAATTGCATGTAAAATAGTCATTTACATATCAGTTACATGTAAAACACTGATCCGGGAGCAAACTAATAGAATTACAGTATTGCAGTGCGATGAAATATTAAATGCCTTGCCTGAGATATAACTATGAATTTCTTCTCATCATTTCACATTTTAAGGTGAATACTTTGATGTGGATTCCTGCACTGAGCAGGGAGTTGAACTCAATGGCCTCGTAAGACCCCTTCCAATTCCTTTTGTCTATGAATCTATGAATAGAGACCTTCATGTTGCTAATGTGGAAGACAGGATCAGTTTCATATGTCCTTGGAACGAGGTGCTTCCTCATTGGGTGTTGGCTTAAACCTACAATCAGGCTAAGGGTGGGAAGGTGGAACAGTAGCTGTTCTGGCTGCAGTAGACCTAAGGTTATAATCACTTTACCACATATATGAAAAGAATCCTAGCAGCCAGTCTTATTATGACCATTACCTGGCTTGAGGAGTTTTAGGCACTTTTTTCAGGTTTATCTCATTCCTATTTGAAATATTAGACTGCCCAGCTTTAGTAGAACTGGTACTTGAGTGCAACACTGCCTCTTTCAATACTACCAGTATCTTTAGAACTAAAGCAGTAACACGAAGGCAGGCAGTGGGATTATACAGTCTTTTTTTGACTGTTTCTGCTGGAAGAGTATTCTAGTGCCTTGCTGTTGGACTATGTTTTCAGGCTGAACCAGAGACTGGTTCATTCAGTCCTAAATTTAGCTTCTTTACGTATGTATATGGTTGTAACCTGACAGATTTTATTATGGCACATGATAAAGTAAAGCCTATTTCATAACATTAAAATAAAATGTTTTAAAACTCTCCAAGTTGACAGTTTTATAAGCTTGTTATGCAGCTAGACTTTAAAGACATTCTTTTAAAAGTGAAAGCATTATTTTTTGAAGCAGTTATGGAGCAGTCCCCCTTTGGAAGTTGCAGAGATGCTTAGGAAACACTTCAAACATTTATCTATTGAAAACATTTATTGTCCATCGTATATTCTGAGATCTTAGGGTACAGAGCTATATGAGACTGTTTTCAAAAACAATCTTAAATAATTAATTTTTTAAAAAAAGAAATCCCTTTGCATTAAAACCTGAAGAGGCCAAGTGTCAAAGGCTCTAGTAAATAAGCATGTTTTGACTTGGTGCCAAAATGATAACAGTGACAGCTGCAGTCAGGCCTCCAAAGTGAGGACATTCCACAGCAGGGATGCTACAGCCAAGGAAGTCCTCACTTGTGTCCATTTTCCAATGGTGGGATGCAGAGCAGGACCTCTCCACCAGATCTTAATAGCCAGGCATGTTTACACAGCAAGAGGTGCTCCTTCAGATATTCAGGTCCCCAGCCATTTAGGGCTGTGTAGGTAATTGTTAACACCTTGAACTCATACTGGAAGCATATCCTTTAGAACTGGTGTCATCTGAGACAAGTTCCTGTTAGCAGTCAAACTGCTGCATAGTGCACTCTGTGTCATCTTCAGTGGTAGCTCCATGTGCTACTCTAACCAGGAGGTTATTTGCTTCAGCCTCCATAGCTATCTAGAATGAGGAGGCTTCAGCCAGTGCTCCAAAAAGATTTTACTTAGAGTATTTTATAGAATTATGCTAAAGGAGTATAACTGGAAGTTATCAACTGACTCCTAGTAGAACAGTGAAGGTCTTTGGCTGTCTCCCAGAATCTCCGAGGAATACTGTAGACTTGTGGCTTTGTTAACTAAGGATTCTGGCTGCAATAGACCAAATATATTCATAAGGTAAAGACTGAGTTGCCTAATATAAAAATATTTTTTCAAAGGGAGGTATAAGTTTTTTTTCCTGGAATGGAGAATTTTGAACTGACAAGTGTCCTTTGCAGAGTGCATGACAGAACTAAAGTTTTTAACAAGTGAAACATTGGTGTAACTTTTAAAACATAAACATTGTGTTTACAAAATTAGATTTTAAGAATATTTTCTTGTGTTGGTTGAAAGAAATAGCCAAAGTAATGTTAACATGTTAATTGTAATATATTATTTCCAAATTCTGGACTGAATTGTAGCAAGCTTCACTTAGAGTTATCTGTGAATCTAATTCTCTCCTTAGCTCGCTCCCTACTTCTTTGATTTCTGCCTGGGCTAGGTGCATCTCTAGCCTGGGTTCATACTGCAAGAATCAAGGCAATCCATGACTCTGTTTCTAGACCTCATTTCTTACTCTCCTGTCATGGTTTTTGTTGGCCTTCACTGCTATATTCCAAATACCAGAAGGGAAGTAGATGTCAGTAAAGGCTACTCTGGCCTTTTCCATATCTGATCTCTGCTTCCTCCCACCTATCCCAGACTGATATTCTTTGGAGCTATTACCACAATTTCCTATGTGGTGGCGCTGTGGGCTAAACCGCAGAAGCCTGTGCTGCAGGGTCAGAAGACCAAGCAGTCGTAAGATCGAATCCACGTGACGGAGTGAGCTCCCGTCGCTTGTCCCAGCTCCCACCAACCTAGCGGTTCGAAAGCATGCAAATGCAAGTAGATAAATAGGGACCACTTCGGTGGGAAGGTAACAGCATTCCGTAACACGACTAGACAAAAATTGTCAAGGGGAACTTTTACCTTTTATTACCACCATTTCACACATTGTTTTATGTTATTGTTTGTGTAAGGAGTTGACCTTCTGTCTCTCCTCCTTGGCACAAATTTTCATTTAAATTAGAAATAGGTTTTAGGCTTCTCTTTATTTCTCAATAAAGCATTTTTTAAAATTTTAACTGCTTCATTTCTTAAATAAATTTTAATTGCTTCATATATTAATGGGGACTGACACTCCTCCAGGTCTGACTCTGCTAAACTAAATGCAGCACACAACAGGTTGCCTTGCCAATTTTGCTTGTTATGGGCTTATCACTTAGTCTGTCACTGCAAGAGCTGAAGCAGGATCAAACTGGATATCACAGAGAAAATACAGTGTCTGCCTAAAATACATTTTCAACTTTTCTCTTATATTTAAATTGTCCTAGAACATGCCCATATTATTACTGCATTTTCCATCAAGTTTTATCCAATAGTGTTATATGGGGAAATGTGAAACATTATGGGAGGAAGACATCGCTAGGTTCTTCTGGATGTTTTTGAGGAGGAAAGGGGAGGGGGTTAAATAGGGCTGCTCTTTTTTGCAGTAGCTATAAGGTTAATATAGTGGCTATTTTAGCCCAGAAATCACACATAATGTTAAGAATGTTAATCTGCTTTTAAAAAGAAAAAGAAGAAATAAAAGAAAGAGAAGACTAGGCAAGCTGATCCCTTTTAGTCTAGTTCTGTTTAGATATTGACATCATGTTATCTTGTCTACCATGTAGATCAGGTCATATCCTAGGACATGTTTACCACCTATGTTTCCCCTTCTTCAGAACATATCTAATAGTATACTAGAATTATTAAGTGATTATTATTGATGATGATGTTTGCAACCACTCTTTCACCACTCCTCCTCAAATAATAATAAAGCCTAGGACAAGGCTCAGTTACTGGGTGGATCTGTAGGTGGTAGATAGAATAGTCTACAGATATGTAGGCTTAAGAGTAATGATAGATAAAACTCTTGAGCTATCCTGAGCCAAGGCAGCTGTGCTAGCAGGGTATGGGAGTATAGTTGGTCGTAGGACTGCACCCATTAAAAACTGATTTGGTCCAATGATGGCACTGGAACTGGGTGAGAAAGCACCACTATCACTTAAAATACAGTTTCCTCTGCCTTGCAGGTAAGGGATGGATCCCCAAAGGCTAAGGAAAGGAAAACCCCAACAGAAACCCACAGGCAATATCTAACCTGAATCAGGCAGTTACCAGTGGTGTCTGTTCCTAGGTTAGAAGTATGTGATCACAGTAGTTCACCATAGATAATGAATGGCAACCTGCTTATTCAATATATTTCAGTATACTGTAAATGTTAAGTCTCAGGTTAATAAGGTCTGTATTTCTGGCTTAGGAGGTTGGCCATGTGTGAAAAGTCAGCTACATTCTCCCTGTGAAACCTCTGTTGCCAATGAGCAAGGACACAGTTCAAGATGTTGGACTTCCTGACTATATTGACTTGCTGAAACAGAAGTTTACAACAAAAGCAGCCCACTTAACAACATACATGAAAACTACTAAAAGGAACCTGCAGAATTAGCCGCCTAGAGTGGTCGAAATGACTAGATAGGCGGGGTATAAATACAATAAATAAAATAAATAAATTATATATTCTGAACAAACCAGAAACAGTTCTGTTGCAGCATTTCTCTTACAGGAGAGAAGTTGTAAGCTACTCTACTGCCTAAGGAGGATTTTGAGAAGTACTGAGCAAACTTGTGGTCTTGTGCCTCACCTGGAGGTACTCTGTACAATCTCCCTTACAGGCCAACTTAAAAGCACACCAACAGGGCAAATCAGAGAAGCCTATACATTTATAGCTGACAAAGGTTTTCTAGGTTTGACATTGCTGATGTTATCCCATTAAAGGGTTAATACCAGAATGAAATCAATCATTGACAAACATCTCAGAATTCATCTGGGTATCTTAGTATAAGTATTTTGCAATAATTTCAGGCAACTCCCCAAACCTATTTTTTTTTAGTTTTATTTATCTACATTGCTTTTATGTGTCATAAACATAGCATGACATCCAAGCGTGTTAAAAACATGTAGCTTTTGAAAAGTTACAGGGACGTTACTTAAAAATCATTAGATGCAGGTGTTAAAACTTAAGCATGTTCTTCAAAATTAAAGGAGCATCTCTATTAAGAGTGCTGTTCTAACAACCTTCTCTTATTGTGTTTTTTACCACTGTTTATATTATGGTGTGGAAATTTATTTATGTTTATATTTATATATTTTAAGTTTACCTAATTCACAAAAAAGAAGCAGTTATACTCCTCCCTATCTCTTAGCTACTTTGTTGCTGTTAGGCTGTTTTTTGT